GCATTGATGTCTTTACAGTATGTTGGTTTAAATTATATCCTAACCATCATAACTATACTGTCTATAGATCTGGGATATGTCTTTAATCGTCTGAAATAAGAAAAACATATAAATGCTTCCACATCGACTTTTCCTGGCAAGACTTGACTGCATCTAGTTGGTGTGAAATTATTTTTTTCTGCAGCATCTGTAGTGGATGTAAACATATTGATGCACTACAGATGCTGTGTCTAGTACACACATGTGTATGTTTATGGATCTGCGAGGCCAGTTTCTGTCAGCTAATTTAATTCTGACTTAAAACAGGCCCTTATAAACTGGTTTTGATGATCGTTACCAACAATCTATTTCATGTATGTCAACAGACAATATGAAGTTGTACTATTTGTTTTCCATTACAAAAGGAAAATAACAAAAGTAAAAACAGGTCTTTATTTTTCTTGAATATATGCCTCTCAGAAATCATGGAAATACACACATGCACAATATCAAAAAGTATAGTTTTATATTATGTACATTATTTCTCTCCTTAGAAACATTCAAGTAATTCCTTTGTGAACAGCATTTATGATCAGAATATTTTCCTCATTGATAAAAGCCACATTACATATTGTCATGATCATTTTTAAATTTACAATAATTCAATAATCATAGCCGAATAAAAGTAAAACGTAAGTTGAACAGATACTAGAAGTTTTTGCATGTGGGAAATGTGAAATTTCAATAGAAAGTACAAATCAATTTTAGAATCGGAGTCCCATGCAGATAAAGACCATTTGGCCTGTTGAATCCACACCAACCCTCCAAAGAGCATCCCACCCAGATTCATCCCAGTTCCACATGAAAAGGTATAAGATAATAAATATTGAAAAATCAATCCTATGTAGTAGAGGCCTTTATCAGACTTAATTTAGTGTATTGAAAATATTTTACCTTTATAGAAAAAATCTCTGTAATTTACAGATTTAATTTATTCACAGTATTTATAATAGACAAATGTGATACAGCACTCACTAATGTGCCACCACTTGGTTCTACATCAATGATAACTGATAAGATGCTTGCTGACCAACTCTTCTCCAGGTATTTAATGTGAAAATTAAGCCTGTCATTCCAGTGCAGTTCTGAGGAATAATGCACTCCTAAATTGCTATCTTTCAGATCTTCTGCAAAATTGAGGCTCCATCTGCCTGCTCAAGGTAAAAGGTCATATGATACAATTTAAAAGAAGAGTGGCATAGTTGTCTGTAGTGCAGTGGACAATGACCATCCTTCAATCAAAATGACAAAAACAGATGATCTGTTTATGATAGTTTGCTTTGTGCAAAATTAGCTGATATTGCTTCCTACACTACAACAGTGACCATGCTTTGAAATAACTTTCTTGACCATAAAATAGTTTGAGCTGTCTGGTGGCTGTAAAAAAAGACATTCATGGGATGCGGGTGTCTCTGGCTAGGCAAGCATTTATTGCCCATCCCTAATTCTTTTGAGAAGGTGGTGCTGCTAAGCTGCCCTCTTGATCCACTGCAGTCCTTGAGTTGTAGGGCGTCCCCTGTTAAGGAGGGAGTTTCAGGAATTTGACTCAGTGACAGTGAAAGAATGGTAATATAGTTCCAAGTCACAATGGTGTGTGGCTTGGAGGGAAACTTGCAGTGGTAGTGTCCCATGCGTCTGCTGCATTTGTCTTTCTAGGTGGAAGAGGTTGTGGTTTTGGAAGGTGCTGATGAAAGAGTGAGTTAGTCAGTACATCCTGTATTTGATATACACTGTTGCCACTTTATTTCAGTTACGAAGGGAGTGAAAGTTAAAGATAGTGAGTAGGGCACCATTCATATGGGTTTCTTTGTCCTGAATGGTGTTGAGCTTCTTGACTCTTGTTGAAGCTAGACCGATCCAGACAAGTGGAGAGTATTACATTAAATGTCCGACTTGTGCCTTGTATATGGTGGCCAGGCATTGAGAAGAAAGAAATTGAGTTACTCGATCCAAAATTCCTTGTCCCTGATTTCCTTGGGTAGCCACATTATTTATATGGCTGGTTCACATAAATTTCTGGTCAATGATATCCCCTGAATATTGATAGTGGGGGATTCAAAGACAGCAATGCCATTTAATGTCAGTGGATTAGATTCTCTCTTGTCAGAGATGGTTATTTCCTGGCACTTAAACGGTACAAATGTAACTTGCCACTTGTCAGCCTAAGTCTGGACGTTGTCCAGGTCTTGCTGCATTTGGACATGGACTGTTTCAGTATCTAGACGTGACATATGGTGCTGAAAATTGTGCAATCGTCAGTGAACGTCCCCATTTTTGATCTTACGATGGAGGAAAAGTTAAACTGCAACTATTTCTTATTTACTATTAACCAATATTTTTGGCAAATGATACTTCTTTTTAAGAAAAGATCTGTAAAAGCTTCCCCAATGATCCAAGCAAATGAAAACTTGACTTCCCTGCTACCAGTCCTAGCTAATTTCAAACAGTTGACAGTTGAAGCTGGTCAAATAAGATTCAAGCAATGGAAATGCCATCTTTAGTAGGGATTTTTTGCTCCTTTATGCTTTGGAGTAACTTACATCAAGAATCTCAAAAAACTGGAAAACTAGATCTGCTGCACCTTCACAAGATCCTCCAAATCTAGTGGCACGGTGGTCTAACAACAGCAGCTTCTCCCAAACCAACATGTCCAGCATTGAGATAGTAATTATTCAAAACAGCCCACTAAGTGGGACATGTTGTTCATATGAGTGACACCACAGTCATGAAGGGACTGTCCTACTCAGAACTTGGTCATGGCAGGAAATCCCTGAAGGAGATTGAAAACATTTTTCGGGAGGCCCTTAAAGCGCCCATGAAGAGATTAAACATCCCCAGTGATTCATAGGAGTCTCTCACTTATGAGCAACTTAAATGGAGAACACTTATTTGGCATGGCACCAAACAAATAGAGAAACTCCATCAAAAGCAATGTGTTGGAAAAGTCAAGTGTCAACTGCCTGGGTCTTCAAGCAGCACCTACCCCAGATGTGGTAAATTCAACAGACCATGCATTGGACTTCTCAAAACCCATTGAATTGCAGTAGAAGTAAGTCAAAAGTTACAGAGGTGCTCCATTTAGTCCTGAGGATTTTTGCATTGTTTCAGTAATACAAAAAGACAGAATTGAGGTAGGCAGTAATGTTACCCATTGTAAAATAATCCACCAACATTTGATGTTGTGGTTTCCACATAAATAAGAACTGATTGGGCAAGGTACTGTAAGGAATTTAATACTGTATCTGATCAAGGATTCATCTCCTTATAAAAATGTGCCAAGAGGAAAATAAATTACAAAAGTACTTTTGTATTAGCTTCCACTAAGTAACTTTACATGTTAATTTGAAAATGATAATTGACTATTAGACTACATATATAATTTTATATAATTGACGGTATGTGGTACAGTAACAAGTCTTGGAATGTCTACATATTTATAGAAATAATTATGATAAAAGTGATCTATGTTGTTAAAAAATGCTTTTCTTTTATTTCAGCAGTGATGATCTGGTCACAACAGGTTTCAGTACCAAATACAGAAAGACAGCAAAGAAATTGTTATTATGTTACTGATGGTGTCATGAGCTACAATGTTGATGTATTTTATTTTTGATAAATCACCATCCCAGCTTCAATAGTTATTTAATATTTTATTTTTCCATTTATGTTACAGATACGTTTTGGAAAGTCTTTGTGGCAAGGGCAGGTTTACATTACTCACCAGTGTAGAGAACAAAAATACACCCACTTGATACTGGGACTGCTGTCGTGATAGAGCAAGTTACAGTACAAACTTAAATTATCCCACTAGTGATTTTCCTTGACACTTTGTTTTTGCACACCAGTGAAGTCTGTAAACCAGCCACATTACCAATTGCGTATAGTTCAGATTGAAGCCCAAATATAAATTGTATTGGTGGCATAACCTCTTGCAGTGACAAACAGTATAACTCATTATTTTGTGCAATACGCGTTTCAAATAGAGTGCACTTTTTTTCTGCCTCATCAATACATTTTTAAGTAAATCGTATACACACATTGAAATTTAACTGCGTTGATCAGAATTTTTTTGTGCAATAGTGCAGGTATCACACATTGAAATGCATTCCGTTAAATCAGTTCTTCTCTGAAGTATGTGGAAAAAGCATATCAGCAACATCTATATTACAAGGAATGCATCATGTCAATAATTCTGAACATTTTAGGAGGTTTGGCAAGCACTGCATAAGAACAGAAGAACAACAGTTGCACAATCAAATTGAAAAAAAATCTACTGTTTTACCTTTAGCCTATTTAATAAGTTTTCCAATAGCTGCACACGTTGCAAATATGCAACGTGGACATTCCAGCAAATTCGGGAAAATGCTCGAAACATTAGTAAGCACCTGCAAAGAGGACAGATGCCTTAAAATTTCAGGAGTGGAACTTCTTTGAAAACATCAGAAAAAGCACCTAT